GTTCCAGTTTTCCAAGAGAGATTTTTTATATACGACAGAGCAAAATGTTTCCTGTTAAAAATTGTCCAGAGAGTACGTCAGTTTTTCTTAAATTCATTCGATAGATTATGGGGGCTCGGCGCCTGCGAGACTCGGGGTAGGCCAGCCCGCAGTACACGCCTGCACTGCAGGCAAGATGTTGCCTAGCTATCGGGCGCTATGAGAGCTTGCAGAGGCTGAACTTGGCTGTTTCGTAACGGGGAATGACCCGAATGACAGACGTACTTTCTGGATGACCCCTTATCATTGTAGTAAAATAAGAAGTGTGGTGCTACGGTCACAACTAAAACGTTTGGCAGGTACAGCAAGATGTTTTGCTGGTTTATCCGATCCAGGCATTCTAATTTCTTCGTAATGCTAACCATCTTATTCAGCTCAAAATTCTACGCCGGACGAGCCTACAGGGGGGACTTGATCAACCGTTTAGAAAGTAGACAGGACAAATCAAACTGGTTTACGTTGTTTGTCACTGGTCATAGATGATGATGATTATGTGTACTAAAATGTCATCCGTTTCAGAAAAACGGATGTTTTGATGAAACAATAATTCCTTTGGTAAATAGAGTGCCATGCAGGTCGTTTTCTTATCCTACCTTTCTTCTATCAGTGTATCCGTGTGATCATGCATATGCATGCCGGTATGTAATTTGATAATTGTATGAAAATGTTCTCAAAGCCATGCTTACCTTTGTGAGATTGGCGTAAGGAATGTCGATTGTGGGTGTTTGTCCTTACAGAATTCCAAAGCTCCCGCCGCACATTCCTAGTAAACTATCGGAACCGCCAAACAAGGCGTGATAACTCGGACACGCCGGCTTTCGCTTGCGCGCGCGCGTGTGAGAGAGAGGGGCGGAAGGTGGGGGAGAAGGGGGGTATGTGTGAGACAGCCTTCACCGAGACGGCTACTCGCAAAAGACCCCTTATTTCTGACCACAGATTCTGCGCTCAGCATCTTACATTTTTGCTCACCCCACTGTTTTTCCCCTTTTCAGTGGGACTGGCCGACCGGAGGGCGTCTCTCAAGGCAGACGCGCTGCAGTCCACCATTGGCGACTTCGGCCGGTGGCAGATGGGCATTGCTCTGGCCGTGGCCATGTCCGGGCTGCCCGGCGCCTGGTTCAAGATCGGCATCGTCTTCCTCGCGCCGCCCGTTGACTTCTGGTGCACCAGTCCGCTGCCCGCCGACCACAAGTACGTGACCTGCCTGTGGAAGTGTCCGGCCGTGTCCGGCCGCCAGACCCCCCATATTTTTTTGTTCATGTAATTTTTATTCGATTAGACAAACCAACTCACTCTCAAAAACCAAAACGCAGCTCTTTTGTCATGATTTATTTGTTATTTATTTCGGCCCGCACCCTACCAAGTATGCGACATCCGAACACTTAAAAGTGCGCGCCAAAATGTCTGACATGTAAAAAGGTGCATGCTGGTCATAACACACAGAATAGTTGTGGGAAAACCATGAGTAGTATAGGTACCCCATGGGGTACCCCACGGGGTACCTATACTACTATCATGTCACAACACTCTTCTGTGCCCGACAAGTATATACATTTTTCTGTGTGGTGCCCAACTGTGGTTAATCAGTTGTTCACAGAGTTGGTAATCACTGGTAATCTACACACACTTGAGGGTCCTTTGAAAGGACAAATTGGTTGATTGAGACATGCATTTTGTGCACATCTTGTCTAAATGCAAAACGCCCATGTTTAATATGGCGTATTTGCATCCCTCCGATGGATAAAAACATAATTTGTCCAATCATAGAATGCAAGTCTGTAACTTGCAAGATGAAGAATTAAGAATTACCTAAAATGTGCACAAAATGCATCTTTTTCGGTACAAAAAATGGTTGTTTCGATTCAGAATGCAGGCGAATCATAGCTAGTATTCATTGGTAATCATTCTTCGGTAATCATTGGTAATCCTTGGTAATCTATACAATTTGGTTATCCGGTGTACACGTTTTTATGGAGTTGGGCACCCCTCGCATGTTTCCGATTAGCCACAAACGTTGTGTTAATGTCATATTAGCTGACACACACTTTTAAGTGAATGACACGTTGGCTCGCAGTTCTATTTTTAGAGTAGTGAGATTAGCTCTCGGCCGGTATTAATATACTGCCCAGTGCGCCAGTCGGTGAATCACGAGTGGATACCCGTGCGTATTCCCCTACTGACCGATAGCCACCCAACCCAGCACGGCAACTGCGCATGCACGCACCGATGAGATGTGGCCTGGGTCACAGGAGGATACTGTAGTACGTTCCTAAAATCAGTTTTGAAAGTATTTGGTCTTGGACTAAACAATCTACGCATCATTGCCCTCAAAAAATTACGTGGTCTGTGTAGCTATAAGATAACAGTAGACAATGCTCTGACAGGCATCTTTCTTAAGTCGGCAAAACTTTACAGCTGCTTCTCGGGGATTACCAACAACATTAATGCTGTTTAACAAGTTTCTTGCGCGTCTCATTGTTGGTGCCTATGATTGAACCACATAGTAGTCACGCCGCAAGGAACGTGTTAAAGTTGACTTTGTTCTTATTTAAACCATGTTGCGTTGATTTACACAGTGCCACAGCACGATACAAGTGCACTGTTCCCGGGCCGGGCGAGGACGGGGCCACTGTCCCATGTGAGTCCTGGGAGTACGACAGGAGTGTCTTCACGGAGACCATCATCACAGAGGTGAGAGCTGCTTGATCCCCGCCGTGCCGTCTCCTGTCTCTATTCCGCAGAGGTTGCGTTTGATCCAAAAGTCATCGTACTGCTTTAACGCGGGGGCTAACGACGGACGTGGGCCACAAACTGCCTAGTGTTGCCGTGCTCCGCGTGATGACCCCAATTTGCCCAGCTTTAAGCCCAGAACACGTCCGGGCTGTCAGGACGGCCGTGATGAAGCGCGGACGGGACATTTTGTTTTAACAAGTTTTCAGGCCCTGCTGCTGCGGCCGCGCCGCGTGACCGCCACACGTTTGTGGAGTAGAGGGTCAAAGGATGAGGCTGCACATTGTAAGGTTTTATTTTTTTACAAAGAGCTGAACTGAAGCAAACATTTTCTAGTCCATTTTTCAGAAGAATTTTCTCGTCTATCGGATCATTATTTTTGGTGTGTGTTTGGGGTCACTGCTGTATTTCGTATTGATACTGTACTTCGATTTGATACCTCGATCGATTGGTTCCCACGTCATTCGCACACATGAGTACTTGTTGGGCTGCTATATCTGAAGCGGCAGCTCTCAATCACACCGTCGGGGTTGTACCAAACGGAGCGTCGCCCGCCGCCCCGCGCGCATGGCATTGGCGCGCCGACTTCAGGCCTCGTGTGGCGCCTCTCACGGAGTGCGCCACGCGCCACACCTTTCAGCTCACGTCTGTTTGACAGACTAACAACGTCTTTCAACAGTCGCTCTACTTGCTACTATTCGCGGCCACTTAAGGGATCATCCCGAAAGTTCGTCCGTCGTTACGATACGAGCCAGCCAAGCTCTCATAGCGCCTGATAGCTAGGCAACAGCATGCCCGCGGTGCACGCGTGTATTGCGGGCTGGCCTACCCCGAGTCTCGCAGGCGCCGAGCTCCCCTCCCCCAATCTGCTAAATGAATATGAGATTAACGGACGTACTTTCTGGACAGCCCTGAAATAAACAACTGAAAAGCAAATAACTAGTTTGAGTGGCTGGAAAGTGCTCTCTTGTACACAACTCTTACTGGTCGTGTGTGTTGCAGTGGGACCTCGTGTGCCATCGCGCCCAGCTCGCCAACGTGGTGCAGATGCTCTTCATGTTCGGCTTCCTGGTGGGCTGCACCGTGGGAGGGGTGGTGGCCGACAAGTGAGTATAGTGCACCTGCACAAGCCCTGCTCTCGTCGACTTGATGGTGATGATGATGGTGATGGTGTGTTCCAGGTACGGGCGCAAGCCGCCGCTGCTGTGGGGCTCCGTGCTCATGCTGCTGGCCGGGGTGGGCTGCGCCCTGGTGCCCTGGTTCTGCGCCTATCTGGCGCTCCGCTTCCTCAGCGCCGTGGCCGTGGGCGCCATCACCGTCACCGGCTTCGTCCTCAGTGAGTCGAGTCCCCTGGGGGGTAGGCGACCCATTCGACGCGCGTGTTTCGCGCGACTTTGGTTGTAGTTCAGTTCATTCGCTAAATGTAGACGCCCGTGCAGGCCAGTCCCCGTCGTGTCGTGAGTACACTAAGGCTCCACTGTGCTCACAGTAGGGCCTGGCTTGCCGAGCCGAGGTGCCCGCTTTTACGTTTGCTTTGAGACCCTACGCGCGCCTGGGGCCTGGGTCACCCTAGCCCGCGGCTTGGCACCGTTGGATTACACGGTCGGATGCAGTTCCCCAGAAGTCTGCATTGGATAAGGGCGGGCTCGCGGATATAAGCTGGCTCTGATGAAGATGTGTACCGAGGAGAAAAAGCCTCTCACGTGACTCGTCCGACAAACAGTGCCAGGTGCGGCGCCACGCCGCGAGGTCAGAGGCTGTGCCGGGGGCGGCAGCAGCAGCAGGTCGTCAACACTGGACTGGAGCAATTCTTTTGGCCGCAGTGCGAGCGCTATGCAGGTGCCCCCCGGTGGCCCCGGGCCGCCGGCGCGCTGCCCGCCCGGTACCTGGTTCCCTTCCTGTGGTGAATCGAATTGCCGTACCTCAGCGAATGGATGACACAATGCTGCTGGACCACCGTACTCTTGCCCCCCGCACCGTCGCCTAGTCTACCCCCCCCCTTCCCCCCAAAAAATAATGAATGAAAACGAACGTTAGCGGCGGTCACTTTACTATTTTATCACTTTCCATGCCATGACCACTTAGTGTACACTTCCTAGTGGACCCGTCCTCAACGTTTTCCAGTAGTACGTGTGAGCTCGCAGTGGAGGTCGTTATACTCGACTCTTGAACCCATTCCACTTATTATTCCAAGCTCTTGTGTTGATTTGCTTCCATGTGCGATTGAGCGTTGTGTGTACAGTCAGCGCATGGCCACGCTCCGCCAAGTGTAACGATGTGCTTAGTCAATGTTTACGTTTACAGACGCCCCCCACTACTAGACAGGTCCAGACCCCCTCTAACGTGCGACGCTCCTGTGCGATTTGCAGCGATCGAGATAATCGGCGGTCGCTGGAGGACGCCCGTGAACGCCCTCAGCGGGCTGCCCTTCAGCGTGGGCCACTGCATGCTGGCGGGGCTCGCCTACCTGATGCGCGACTGGCACCACCTGCAGCTGGCCGTCAGCATCCCAGTCGTGCTCCAGCTCTCGTACGTCTGGCTGGTGCCCGAGTCGCCGCGCTGGCTGATCGCCGTGGGCCGCGAGCACGAGGCCGTCGAGGTGCTCAAGAAGGGCGCGAGCGCCAACCGCATCCCGGTGGCCGACTGGGACAAGGTGCTGGCCGCCTGCAGGGAGGGTCAGCAGAAGGGCGGCGACGAGCAGGTGAGCATGGCGGCCCTGATGATGCAACGAGGGTCCCTGAGGACGGCTCGTGGATCCTGAGAAATGCCAGACTTGGGCGCGGGCGCGGCCTCGCCGTGCCTTGCCTCGCCAGGCGGCGCCCGCGTGGCGAGGGCTTCCCCGACCTTATCTGCCGCCCGGGACGGACGAGACCGACGTCGGGAAAGGCAGGCACGGAGAGCGGAATTTCTGCGGGCGGTTGTTTTCATTCGCAGAGCATGACGTCGTTTACTTTCTTTGCGCGATGCGGCAGGGCGGGCGCGCCCGGGCGGGGCCCCGGGGCCCCGGCCCCACTAGGCCGGCCCGCGCCACACCGCGGCGCCACGGGACGGCCTATCCGCCAGGCGTTTGTGTGGGGAAGTAGGGATCGTGCATAAACTATGTGCCGTAGAGGGCGGAAAAGGGGGGGGGATAAATATCGTGGCCTCCTGAGTAGGTTCTGGACCACCACACATAAGCGACCCCGTGTCATTTGTACCCCTGGGGGTAAAAATATCATGGAGTTACTATGAACTCCTGTGGTGACCCTGCAACCTAATCAATGGACCATGACATTTTTACCCGCCTCTGGTACTCGTAGTGTGAGCAAGATCTGTCGCCGGGATATCGGAGCGATTGTGGCGTCGTCGTGGCGGTATCGTTCCGACGTCCCCGTGGCTGAACGCCCCTCATTCTCATTCACCTCATCCCTTCCGCAGGAGCAGTCGGCGGGCTTCCTCGCGCTGTTCCGCACGCCCGTGATGCGGCGGTGCACGCTCGTCATGTACGCCAACTGGGCGGCGTGCGGCCTCGTGTTCTACGGGCTGGTGCAGTACATGGGCCAGGTGGCCGGCAACATCTTCCTCAACGGCTTCCTGTCGGGCGTGCTCGAGATGCCCGGCATGGTCATCTGCTGCGTGTCGCTCATCCGCTGGGGCCGGCGCAAGACGCTGCTCGCCGCGCAGGTCTGCACGGGCGTGTCCTGCCTGTCCATCATGCTGGTGCCGCTGCTCGGCCTGCCCGACTGGGTGACGGTCGCCCTCGCCTCGTGCGGGGTCACCGGCATGTCCGTGGCGTTCCCCTGCGTGTACATTTACGCCGCGGAGCTCTTCCCCACCGTGGTCCGTAACATTGGCGTGGGCTCGGCGTCCACCATCGCCCGCGTGGGCTCCATGATGGCCCCCTTCGTCGCCACGCTCAACTCCGTGTCGCTGTGCCTGCCGCCGCTCTTCTTCGGCCTGGTGCCGCTCGCCGCCGGCTTGCTGGTCTACATGCTCCCCGAGACGCTGCACAGGGAGCTGCCCGATACGATAGCCGAAGTGGAGAACTGGGAAAAGTACGTATTTTCGTCATGGATTAATTTGTGTTAAGGCGGAGATGCCCGATTACCACGTGCATCTGTGGTATCTAGATTCGTTTTTTATTTCTCAATATTTTTATTTCAGTAGTGCTGTGATGAAAACCAAGGATAATGCTCCGGCTGTGGTGGGAGAAGAGAACCCTACTTTTACTACAGAGTCTTCGTGATTTTCATCCTATTCCAGCTTTTGTCAACCATTTGTAAAGTACCATGTGACATTCTTGTAAATTTATGAGGTCGAATGTGTTTTTTGAAAACAAAAGGTGAGGTAGGGATGATGTATTGACTGTGATACTTGTAAATCTCTACTTGTTATATATTTCTTTAATTTTATACCTATTATTTTAAGAGTTCATTATTTTTAGGCAGACAGTAAAATTCATAAGTATTTTATAATGTACCACTACTGTATCATATTCAGGGTACAAAACTGTTTGGCTTCTCTCTGCTTGTTTTATTTTTGTTTTGTTTTATATTACTTACTGAAACTAAACTTCATTTCTATGAATTTTGATCTAAAGCTCTATAGGCTCCAGTTTCATTTGAGAATATAATGAATCTATTATTTTTCATAGATGAAGGTATTTCAAATTAACTCTCATCAAATCATACAAGTCCTCATGTTTTTTATTGTCTTTGGAATGGAATGATTGCTTTTTAAGGTACAGCACATTACTCTCAGATCTTGGCACTGATTCTAAATATCATCACAGATTTCAGATGGAAAAATGATTTCTGCCTCTAGAGAATTCCTGTCAGATGTCTTTCCTTTATGCATATGACATCCATTGCCTTTATAGCAGATTGAGCCGAGGCCCAAGATACTGAACAGATATTTATGAACACGTTCATTTTTGAAAGTGTATGAGGATTCTGTAAATGTAAACAAACGGTGCAGTTGAGAAAAAACAGTAACATTTTTATGTAAAGTAGGTACATTAAATGTAAAAATTGTGATTGATAAATTCAGCTTTACCTTAGATATTTTGAAGCATTTCCTTGAAAAGTATTGAACCACAGTTTCATAACAATCCAATTTTGGGTATGTGAGCTTGCTTTCTGATTGGAGTAGATAAGCAGCTCTTTCATGATCTCCTTGTGCGATTTCAGATGCAATGTCTAACACAGTTACATCTAAATGACGCCGCATCTAAGTAAAAATGTAAAAATGATTGCAAGGAGGGAAAAAATATATCTCTATTAAAAAGATTGTAAATTTAATTACTGACTCTATGTATGCGCTTGATTTGGTATTCCAAGATCCTTTTTGACCTCTTATCAATAGCTGATTCATATTGTCTCTTAAGTATTTCTATGGGAACATCTCTACTGTTCACTGCATCCTATAAACACAAAATCAGATTTATAGGTACAATTAAATAATTCAAAATATATTATACTTGAGAAATATATGAGGAATATTATTTTGATAGACACTTACTATGATGGGAGGAATATCTTCACTTTCGTCAATGGAAACGGTTTGGCGGTAACCTTGGAAATATGCCACAGGTAATGAGCCAATATCAAGATCTCCATATTCCTCTACATGGCTGGTATTAGTTTCCGTACGAACCACCTCAAATTGATGATGGAGAGACTCTAATAGGAGATTCTCCTGCTCATAAAGTGAAAATGCAAATGTTAAAGCAAATTGTAAGTTTTGAGTATTTCTTTTCCTTTTCTCCAAATGTCTTACTTTTTCTGAATCCTCCATCCATTTAACACTAAAGACATCACCAAGGTAAGTCCCTCGTAACTTGTCATAGTAACAGGCATAGGAGCTCTCTCTTGGGTCAGCAGCAGTCATCACAAATACTGAAAATAAATGTCTGATTTTGACCGAAACAAATCGACAAAAATAATTCACAAACATAAATTTAAAGACCCATTATCGACATACTATTATTTTTATCAGGAAGAATGTCATCAAACATAGATCCAGATTCGCAGGCTTCAACATAGAGCACCATCTGTAAAATTTGTCTGTTATTTAGTTTGTCAACAAGATCAAATGAGCCAATGAAGCATTATTCAATTTGCAGTCATACCTTACTAAACTTATTAGAGTATGCCATGCTTTGAAGAGTAGACTCCAACAATTTAGCGTGCAGTTCATCATTTGGGAAGCAAAGGAATCCAGGAGCACCATGGTCCACAAAATTGATGAAAATGTGATCCTTTGGTCCACTAAAGAATTTTCAGTTAATAACAAAATCAACGATTGTTTGAAAAATTTAAATTTGAATATACTTACCTTTCAATAACTTTTCCAGACCCAATACCTGAAATGGCATTCTTGTCACCAGTCAGCACAGCAAGGAAATTTGTTGAATTAACATCCTAAATGAGAAAACATTTTAAAAATCTTGCTGCCATCTTATCCTAAGGAACTGATAAAAAGAACACATACTTCACCCGAATAGTCAATGGGGACACCTTTATAGACATTTGGGCCGTTGGGGCGATTGATGATAACATTAGGTGTTGGGTTCCTGCAGGATGGAAACAATATATTTAAACTCCGCAAAATACTTTGAACTTCAGATGCATATGAAAGTAGAAATATCTTACTCGGGCGACCTTGCTACATCATCATACATCATAACGATAATGTTCTCATCCGGGATACCATTTTTGTGAAGAATTTGGTATGCATGGCAAACATCAGCCTGAAAGAAAAATTGTAATTCAAAACTCTTTCATCAAACGTTATTTTTGAAAGAATAAAATTAAGCAAAAACTTCTCTCTCTTACTTGATGGCGGTAGTTGTAATAGCCATTAGAACCAGCCACAAGAATAGACCAAATTTTCCCTCCATTTGGCAACATTCCTCCCACAGGGAAACTGGGAAAACGTTGGATGAGTCTTCCCCATGTTGATGTCACACCCAATAAAATAAACACTCCAAGCATCCAACGTTCTCGCCCCATTGTCGAATCTCTCACAGAAGTGGGCAAATGGCCTCCTGAAAGAACATCAAACAAAGTTTAAGTCAGTTAAATTGTGATTAAACAAAATGTTCACAATAAAATCCCATTTCTCACAAAGGCAAAAAGTTACTCCAGCAGTAAGCTCACAGAGGGAAGGCAAGAATACTCTCACGCTACGTCGCTACGCCTGTCTCACTATTCCCTCTCGAACTGAGAAAACAAAGTATCACTTCATGGCCTCGTGATCCAAAGGTCATTGTCGTTACAATTATCAGGCAATCTGTTTTTTCAATATAACAACGAAGTCTCGTCTGACGTTCGATCCAAACAAAGCAGACGAAAAATAAAGAAGCGGAAGAAGTATGCACTATTCGCAGGACATGTCGTCTGCTAGTGGTATGAGAAAATAATAGGTCAGGATCAGGAAGATATCATCATGAAAACAAAACAACACTTGACGCCGCACCATCAACATCATGGCTGCTCTAACCTCAGATGGAAATATCACAAGTTTTCAGAAAAAAGGAAGAAACAGGATCCCATACATCCAGGGAACACGACAGTCTGTTCAAAATGCTCAAATCCTTGTGTCGAGTGGAGCCCCTTCGCTTGACCATGTCGTAGGTAAGAACCTTTGGCTCCACTGTTTGGTTTCTAACCTTTGCTTCATATGGGATTTACACTTTAAAGACACTTCGATTTGTAGTTTTATTATCATAGTTTTGTGACTCTAATTTTTCTTTCCAAATTAGGTAGTGGACTCCCTGTCGGCAGTATTCTTCTCATAGGTATGCGTTTATGCCACTATGATCATTGGAATGACTTTTGTTAAACTAGTGTATCCCCCACAAACAAAATCTTTTTCAGAGGAAGATGCGTTTGGAATGTTCTCCAAGTTTATTCTTAAATACTTCTTGGCTGAAGGAATAGCCTGCGAGCATCCCCTGTTCTTAGCAAGTCGAGATTTTCAACCTAACACTTTTGTGTGTTTAACGATTTGCAAGTGTTTTTCGCTTATCAATTTTTAACTATCCAACAATAAATTTTTGTTTATTCCTTATTTAGATGAAACAGTTACCTGTCCCGATAAAGGTAGACTCATCAATTTCAGGTCATGACCTAAAATCTGATGACCCAATGACGATAGCATGGAGGTATCAGAACATGCGACAGGTTCAGTCGATACCAGGATCATCCAACAGTGGGACTCACCTTGGTCATAATTTTGATTTAACTCAATTCATACCCCCAGAAGATTTGGATACCTGTGATTATACGCTGTGGTCTGAACCTGAGGAAAATGATACACCAATAGGTAGACCAGTAAATTCTATTAATTGAGAATTAAAGTTAGAACCTTTTCCTTAATTTTAATATACTGGTGTTATATTTAAGGTAATTTCATCAACCCTCATTATGGCCTACTCTTATCAAAAATACAGAAAAGAATTTCTGAAGGCCAGTTTCGTGTTCAAGATGAACCAAGTAAGCAGAGCATACTTCGTCTAGCTATTCACTCTCTAGGCTCACCCCTGTGGGTGGGTTCTTCCTGTGATGAGTCCTTGGAAGAAGGAGTCAAAAAAGATTTACCTAAATTCCTTTTATACCTACGGTCTCTTCTTAGAGAGTCTTATGCTCTAGCTGTTGTCACAGTTCCATCTCATCTTTTTAGGGTAACAATTTGTATATCTATTTTATTTTTTTACAATTTATGCCTTTCCTGTACAGAATTTAATTTTCATTTTTGATTTGGTTGTAGGACCCTTCAATCATTAAGCTTTGTGAATACCAAAGTGACATGGCCCTGCGTCTGGAGTCTTTCGCTGGATCATCATATGAAACCAACCCAGTATTCAAAGAATACCATGGTCTACTCCATATTCGTAAATTGGGACCCGTAAACACACTAGCCACTCACGTTCCAGAGAGTTTAGATCTAGCTTTTAAGTTGAGGCGAAGGAAGTTTGTCATTGAGGTAAAATTTGCAAATTTTACACAGCTTTACGGTTCATAGAATAATTCATACAGTGAATCAGTTTTAAAATATGTTTTTTTCCCCCAGAAATTACACTTACCCCCAGAACTTCAAGAATCAGCCCAGCGAGAACAGGATGACATTTCACCCGGGAAAAGATCAGGCCTTGGCTGCACTTCAAGTCCAAGCAGCAAGTTGGACTTCTAATTTGTTCATTTGTTTTGTAAGTGTCATTACGTTTTGTAATTATTATTGAAGAAAGATTTGTGTCTGCAAAATGCATAATTTTATAACTGTGAATTCCTTTCCTTCCGTCTCCCTGTGCACTTCCGTTTTTCAAAAGATCAACTGTACAGAATCAACGGTGGTTCATGGTCTCTTCCTGTTTCGGTAAAAGATCAACAGAATAACAATTACCTTGATTTTTGAAGGCTTGTGACTGCTTTGTTCATCACCTGGCTTCTGCAGCCAAGTTGTCCCTCCCTGTTGTTGGCTGCTAACTCTTTGTTGTTCTTTGTGCCCCCCCCCCCTTTCCCCCTCCCTCTACCTGTCGTCCAGTCATCAGCGCGACGCGCAGAGCGTCATTGGCGCGAGAGTGTTTGGACTTGGGACCGTCCGTCTCGCTCCCTCCAGCATCACTC